GCCAGGCCAACTCGGCCTCAAAAAAGTTGGTTGGTGGTTCAGCTACCCACCCCGAAATTATGTGCTCAATCTGGATCATCATCCCATTTCACAAGCATAAATGTGTGTGCGTGTGCGAAGATCACCTTTGGATTCTTTTGGTGAGATAGATGTATGTATGTATGTATGTATGTATGTCTGTCTGTCTGTCTGCCTGCCTGCCTGCCTGCCTGCCTGCCTGCCTGGCTGGCTGGCTGGCTGGCTGTCTGTCTGTCTGTATGTGCATGGTATGTGCATGGTATGTGCATGGTATGTGCATGCATCTATCTATCTATCTATCTATCTATCTATCTAATCGATCTAATCTTTCTTATCTATCTTATCTATCTAATCGATCTATCGATCTATCGATCTATCGATCTATCGATCTATCTATCTATCTATCTATCTATCTATCTACCTATCTACCTATCTATCTATCTATCTAATCTAATCTAATCTTATCTTATCTTATCTAGTCTATGTATCTATGTATCTATGTATCTATGTGTGTACTTACCGTATATACCCATGATATCCCCACTTTAGCTGGTGTACATCATGTGACATCACCTTTTTTAACCCAGGCATCCTCTGAAGCATTGACCGCCGTCGCCGCAACCGCTCCTGCCTGGTGCAACATGTGCGCGGCAGAGGACCAGGCGGTGGATTTTTCACAGCTGGAGAGCAGCGTGGCGAAGTGAAAGATGTTTTGTTCCACCTTGGACAACAGCTACTGTACGTGAGGCCCCCGGTTTGACGAAATCGCGACAAGTTGGTGAACATAGAGCTCCAATAACATCCAATAACTATGGTTCATGGGCACTGACAAGTATAGTTACTGGGCTTTATAAACCAACAAACATCACTGGGGGAGGACCAGATTGCAGCAATGATTCGAATGATAGTGTTTATTTAGGGCTTCAACTTGCTTGAACGTGGTTCAACAGCAAAGTAGGATGTGTGTTTCACATCAACCTCGACACAAAGTGAATCTCATTATGTACATCTTCGCATGCTATCTGTGAATCGCAGATGGCTTCCTCTGGAAAGAAATATCTACCTTAGCGTCTCTACAGATCTTATCAATTAAACTGTGACTATGCTAAGGCAACACCAGAAGGTGATCTGTCATCTCATCACCCATGTGCCATCATTGCCTCAAAATACGACGTGATTTTTTGCGGTGCGCCGCTTCAGCATCTTGGCCACAGGGAGGCTTCACCAAAAACGATCAGAATTCGGCACCAAAATTATTTTGTTTGGAAATGTGGTACCACAAAATCCACATACTCCACTAATTCATGATGTTCCCCATTCAATTGCTATTTTGTGGCTAGACCCCACTGCCCATTTTCTCACAAACTCAAATGTGTCAGAATTCGACTGGTTCTCGACTTGGCCCAGAAACTCTGCGCCATGCCATGGCCTGACGAGCGATTCGCGATTCGGGGACGATTTCAACCCCTATTTTTCCCCATGAAATCCCAGGACCCATGGGAACAGCTGGAGATTTTCAATGGCCAATGGCCAGGTAGTCAGGTAGTCGGGTCGAAAGCCGACTGTCCCCGAGTCGGACCATGGCCCCAGTTGATCCAGTTGGATCCGCTCCTCCCACAGCTGCAGAGCCACATCTGCGCGCTTCGCCTGAAATCACAGGCTGGACTTCTGCACCGGTGTTGCGTTCAAACCCAGGTCAAGCAGCACAAGTAACATGAAATAAGCCCAACAGTAGCACCTTGGAAAAATGCGAGAAATAAGTCATAACTGCCATCTAGGAAAATTCTATTCATAATGTAGCCCCCTGTCATTCAAAGAGGACTTATGAAAGGATTCCGTTCATTCAAGGTGTTTTGAGAGATGTGCTGAGAATCTGGCACCATCTCCTCAATCACATTCAGAAATACTCAGAATAGGCATCTTTTGTATTCCCTTTACTCCTGTTATGACCAAAACTGTTTGTCATAGCAAGACTGTTTTGCTCGGTTGCTTTGGCTCAATCCCAAATAGGGATACCATAAAATGATTGAAAACAGACTCACCCTCCAGGGAGGAACAAGGCAAAATAGAATATATCTATATATATATATAAGCCCAGAATATGAATATATCTATATATATATAATAGATATATATATATATAGAAAACCCCTGGCCTTGCCCAAAGAACTCAAGAGCTTCACGATTTTCCGCGACACATCGACGTCGGCCTGGGGGGTTTGGGGGTCCCTGGTGCCACTTGGACCCCTGTGAGGTGAGATCTGCTGGGATAACACAAATTTTGCCACCGAGATCCCAGTCCTTTGGGGCGTAGGATGTTAAAATTCTTCAGATGAAATAGTTGAAAACCCATTTTTGCGGGATAGTTATTGTTGACCCCCTCCATATACCCAAAACATCCCAAAACCCCAACCCCAATAGGTATACACCCAGTTTTGGGTTTTGTTTCTATCACCTAGGCCGAGAAGCATGAAATTCCAACTGGGCCAGCTGCTTCCACTGTGCCATGCTCCATCCGGCAGCTACTGGTGTGTCTGAAAATGGAGCATACCAGGAAAGCCATGACCACTACAAATGGAAAATGATGAGAAACCAGCAGAAACCAGACAAACCCACGTTTTTAGGTGGAAAAGAAGATGCGGAAATTCAAGCAATGTGATGGTCGTGGTGTTGATGATGACGAAGACAATTAAAAGCAATCAGATTCGTACATCTCTTGAGCATGCATCAGGCTGGTATTCAACACGCAAATGATGTGAACATTCCGTGGACTTCGCTGCTTGCAGAGGCAAAAGTATCAACAGGATCACCCTGGTCCAATAGGATCACCCTGGTTGCTAAGCTAAAGCTTGGCAGCCGTATCCAAGTTGCATGTTGCAAGAAACATCAGTATCCTGAAATTCATCACTTTTGTGCCATCAAGAAACTACCCCATCCACTCAGTTTAGCTTTGATCAACAGGAAAAAAATAGTAATAACAATAAATAATAATAATAATAGTAATAATAATAACAAAAATAGTAATAACAATAATAATCATAGCTGAATATTCCCAAGTTTCACCTCCATCCCACCACCTGTGCCCACTTTTTCGGACGCTTCGCAGCGCTCGCAGCTTTCGCGCTCCAAGCGTTGCACCAAGGCCAGCACCGCGGGGCCGGCGCAAGTCTCCAGAGCGGCGTGGAGGACGGAGGCGAAACCTCGGAAGTCGCAGGATGTTTCATGGGAAAACCGTGGGAAAACCATGGGAAAATGGTGATTTATATGGAATATCACCATTTTGAATGGGAAAAGTCACTATTTCAATGGGCCATCGTCAATAGCGAACTGTTAGTCATTACCAGAGGGTAAGGAAAATGATATGGGATATCAAATAGGACCTAGTGACATAATATGTATACATATATACATATGTTAATATATTCAAATATTGGATATAAAGTTGTGTAACATTATATAACCAACGATGGGCCATCATCTATGGTTTCTAAGCCACAATAACCCTGGATAATTGTCTTGCAAACTCATAGAGAATCCAGAAATCATATAGATAACTATAGATAGATATATAACATTATGAAACGGGGGTGCTCCCTGCCCGCCCCAGATACCTTTGTGCCTAAATCTACAGGTAGAGTTCCCCCAAGATGTGGCTATCATGTACGTATGATGAGTTGGAGCAACCCTGCGTTCGCACGATGGTTTTGCCGCAACTGGCAAACAAATGGATGGTTACCCTCCGGATATCAAACATGGCAGGTGGCAATCTCCTAGTAGACATGGAGGTGACTTGCTGGGAAAATCATCAAACTATGGCTGGAGGGTAGCCATCCATGGAAACGGGGGGAGGCCTCGAAGGCGAACGCCTGTGGAGGCCAAAGAATGAGGGGTCTTGTTGAGAACCGCCATCAATCTTTGCTAGGGCTTACTATTTCTCCACCCTTAATCTTTGCTATGTTTTGCTAGGGTTTACATGTGTATATATATATACATGTATATATATATACATATATGTGATGTTGCTTCTCCCAGATGTGCTCATGCACCAATACGTTGGAACAGGTAACCACCATCATCCCCACCACCACTACCAAATACCGCATCATTATCATCATCGCTGCAACCGTCCTCAGCATCGTCGAACGACGCTTGCTGGCTTAAGTGCATTCGAAGAAACTGGTCGCTTCTGGCCTTTCACGAAGCTCGTCCATTCTGCAGAGCAGGTGCAAAGCTTTCTCCCAAAGCCAGGCGGAGCAAAGAGCTTTCATGGCACCTCGTGAGCGAAGCGTCACCGGGATAGTCCTCTTGGTAAGTTTCCCACCTATCGCCTAGAAACTCACCAGAACCCCACTGGTGCATGCGACCAACAGAGTGACGCAATTGACCAACCAAATCACCACAGCGAAAAAAGCGCTTCCCTCCAATCTCCTCTCTTGAGCAGCGGCAATAGCCCTTGTGCAATAGTTGATAAAGGCACAGTTTGTGCAGGTACAGCCATGTTACCCCAACATGAACAACCAGAATATCCTGGCGTCTATACCAAAAAAGAATGGGTCTCCCGATGTATCCGCCCTGCATCACCTGGTAACCCCCTCTCTGGCGTTTTCGCCAAGAGCTGCAGCGCCAAGCGCCAGCTGAGGGAAGAGCCAAGGCCAAGCAGTAGGTTTTGATGCCCCAAGGCATCCACACGAATCTGAGGTCAGGATGGCATGGGAATTTTCCCGATGTGTTTGAGGTTTAAATATGTTTAAACCAGGCCTAAAACTGCTGAATCCCCAATATGCACTGACAAAATCTGGTGGAAAATCAGATTTTGGAACTATCTGAAACTGTGTTGACTCCTTAACACTCTGGACTTACCGCTTTGTACTTACCGCTTTGGATGGGGGGTGCAGCCTAGAATCTCACATGGAACCCAAGAGTTTGTTAGATCATTTTATCAATGAAATCTGTCCTGTGCGGCCTTTGGAAGGCCATGCATTTTTTAAGGTCCTCCAGCTCAACAGCTGTAGCATAGTGTTGTGCCTATGGTATAGTCCATACCACCTTTTCCAATCCAAACAGTTTATAGAGCTAGCAAAATATATCTACCACAGTCTACCAACCATTATTTACAAATTATCTCTCCATAATCTTTGATCGTTCAAAGATCAAAAGAAACTATAGATGATGCTTAAATAAACCATGCTACCTCGATATACCCTATTGCCAATTGGTATTTGGGGTCCTGCCCAACTTGATCCCCACCTGCCAATCACCGCTGTCATTCAGCATTTGCAAGGCCCTTGGCCAGATCCTTCGTTCCCCGCGAGCGACAGCGCTCAGTGCAGCGTTCAACGCCACCGGGCTGCGAAGCCACAGATGCCTAGCCCAATTGACACTCACCAAGCAGCCAATAGCATGGTCTTCGGAAGGGGCACGCGGAAAATGTCAAGGAATATTCCTAGCTCTTACTGCTAAGGTGCAATTGCATCAAGATGGTTGGAGATTTATATTGAACATGAGGAAAACCGAGTCCCATACAGGTCTTTCCTTGAGGTTTCGGTTTGAGTTTACCGATCGGCTTGCAGCAGCTCAAGCTGACGTTTGCCTGCCTAGGATGATTCTGAGAGTGAATCAACGCATGAAAAAAGAATCGTGGGTCGTCGTCAGTGTGTTTACCGCGACATTAACCATAACACGTTTCGATTAGGATTAAAACAACACCGAAAAAGGATAGAAAAGTCATGTGTATCACCAATCTTTAGTGGGATTGTACTAATTTCTATCTATTTGGGGCTTACATGGGCTTACTATATCATACTATCCATCCCAAAAATGTCCGCCTCTTCCCGTAACCATGGCCTGCCCCAGAGCCGCAGGGCTAAGGGCCATTGCTGGGCAAAGTCTATGGCACTCAGCAGCCCCGTGAAAGACATCTCGTTGGGCCTTAGCCCCACCTGCGGGGCTGTCGACTCCTTCACGATTCGTGATATAAATCCCCCATAGCTATGGTCAGGACTTGAAATCAAAATTCATGGAAGGAAATTCGTATCTCTGGAAAATGTGCTAAATGTATCTAACCAAATCTATATATGCCAAATCTATAACTCCTAAGGGACCATCACACTGGATCTAGCGACAATGTTTTGTTTTGCGTGAAACCACATGGCTCAAAGAGCCACACCAAACAAATCACAATTAGTGTGTCCTCTGAGTTTGGGGGAACTCATGGTTTTTTTTAGAGTTTCATAAATGCAGAGAATGTATATCTTCCAATGTTTCTGATGAGTTCCTCACAGTTTTTCGATGCCAATCCGGTCTTCCCACCTCGGCCATGCTGTACCATCTCTGCAATGCCTTGCCCGATGCACCGGCGTCGTGGTGGAAATGGAAAATGAAACCATTCAGCACTGCATTTCGATTATGTACACCCCTTCATTGAACCACCAACAAGCAATCATTCTACAGGGTCTCCTTACTTTCCGGCCACACATGCAACATCTTCCCACCACGCGAGTCTACCGAGTCTACCGACTCGGTTGAAACTGCACCGAGTCAGTTCTCAAGATCTTTGGCTTGTGGACCAAGTTGACACACCCTTCTGTTCACACTAAGCTGGTCATGGAATTTCATCTCCCAAACTGGTATTCATCCATATTATATATATATGTTTTATATATAATGTATTTCATGGGTTTTCATCCATCGCCACGTTTTGTTCCGGATAGATCCCTAGTGAATCCCCGGTCGCATCAGCGGTCGCATCCGCGGTGCCTCCCGCCATCGTTTCGCGGAGGCAGAAAGGATCGAAGTGTATCCCACGATGTTCTTGGCGGAGGGATGAAATATGAGGAATATGTAACATATAGAGATATAATGATTACACATGTTTATATATAATTATCATATGCACTATGTGTATATATATATATGTATATATATATGTATATACCTATATATATATATGTATGTGTATATATATATATGTGTGTATGTGTGTGTAATGATTCATATACTACATTTATTTACAGAGAGAGAGATGAATAATCTATTTATATATAGTACATGTATGTGATACACAAGAGATGTAACATGGAATGTTTAGAGAGATATTGGATAATATGTATATACATCATAACTATGGAGATCATATGGAAGATTCCGTCCCTGAGAGGTTTGGACCTTGTATATATTTAGTCTTGTATAATGTCTATATATTATATGAGTGTGTGTGTGTGGGACAATATAACTACACAAGAGAAAACTGACAAACAGTACAATAGTGTGATACACATGTTATCCTACAATATGTTTGTTTCCATATGGTATGGGGTAATGTCCTATAATGGGGATAATTATACATATTATATGACTATCAAACCAATTTGTGGAAAATTAAGGGAATATGCGTGGATTGTCATACCCTCTGGAACTTGTGACACCTTGCTCTGATTAAGCCATGGCCTATTTAGTTGGATGATTCACCTCTTCATTTGACGATGAAGCTATGCCATCAAACCATGCTGCCACCATCTGCCACCGTGAAGAGCGGTTGGTAACTGGCGTTAGTTCACCTTGTCCACGGAATAACCCAAAAAAAATGGGGACTTGCTAACCAGGGTAGGCTTAACCAGTTCATGTTCCTGGGATGATCCAGCGACCAGCTGTGTCCCACTCCACACTGTGCATGCCACCTACTAAGCCCAGCAGGTTGATGGTCAGTTCATAATCCCAGACCAGGCAGCTTGATAACTCAGTTATAGATTACAATAACCAACAGTAGTTAGTAGTTATTCAATAAATGCTTCATTCTCATAATCCCAATTTCTATCCCAGCTATATCCCAATAGTTTCAACCAGCAAATCAGCTCTAACCACGAAACATTTGTCATCCGCCATGGAGCTCTTTGAAACCCTCTCCGCCATGCTGCACACAGCAGCTGATTTGCTCTCTGCCACCCTTCCATGGCCTGAGCGTGATAGACTAGACATCCCCATTGCTGCTTGTCCCCGACCTGGAAACGGAGATGATATATGTATGTATTTTTCTATAGATATGTAATCAAAAATCATCATACATTATATATATATAATATATAGATATGTATATATAGATATATATATATATATGTATATATATAGATATATATGTATATGTGATATGAGAATCATCCATTCTACAAATTCTACAGAGAGGAGATCCCCTGGAATTTCCGAACTTTCCCACGGATTTCAGCGAGGCACCGCCACGGCAGCGTTGAAACTGATGTCGTTGGGACGTGGACCATCGGTCTCCATGTGACCTGGCCCCGGAATCCGATGGAGGAAAAAGCCGATGCTTTTCATGTCACCGAAACAGGAGATTTTACCATGAAAAGTGGTGGTTTAACATGGGTTAAACATCCTGAAACATGGATTTGATCAGTCAAAGTGGTGGTTTAACATGGTTTCACATGGTTTGAGCATTGGTCATCTGCCAAAATTCATCAAACCTCATGATTGACACATTTCCAGCGCAAGGATTGTATCACAGGCATGGTTCGAAAAAGACAAAGGGAAATGCAAGTCTTTCCCGTACCAGGTTCCATTTGTTTCTGTTTCTTATTCATAGAGGTTTCTTGCGGCTACATAGCGGCTTGCAACCGCTTGATTCCTGATGCGGCTTAGAGTACCACGGTTTTTTCTGGACTGCCCTGACTGTCGTCTTTGGCTAAAGAAGACTTTGAGATATTGGTCATGCAATCCCTTATTGTTGCATCTTGTTGGTGGATAGCTATTGGTGAAATGTTGTAACTGTATACAGTACATGAAGATATGATCAAATGTGCGCAGGTTGGCCATTGGTTGGCTTTGGACACCTCACCCGTCGAATACACTCTAATATTAGATACTCCCAATAGGGGGCCCAATTCATGAATAGATCCAATACTAAACCATGGTTTCAAGATCTTTCAAAGGGCGCAGTTCATATTTCAAACGGGGTATTTCAGGATGTTTAAAACAATGTTAAACCACCATCTGTGTAACCACACCCATATATGGAATGTTTACTTGAATATATCCGCATTTCGCCGAAGTTTGTACGTGAAAGGCAAGCAAAAAAATGCATTGTGCACAGATGTTTGTGGGATTGAACAATTCAAGACATACAAACACGGAGGGAATCAATGGCCTGACGTACCCGTCATCCGTCAAACATAATGCTAAGAAATATGTTTCTGATGGATATGTCTTGCAACAACCATCTCCACAATGATGCAATTGCATGACCTTAGTGGCTAAAATTTTGCCCTCGCCTGGGATTATCTATATGAAATTTCAAAAAAACTCAGAGTGCTGGTTGCCTTAAATTCTTCACAAAAATCTTCCGTGAAGATATCAAAATAGATCATGCATGCCTTGCCTGGGAAAAAAATCTGCTCCGAACACATCACGAAATTCATCTCCCACCCCGAAGTCGCAGCCCTCGGACCTAGCAACCGGACTGCTTTAGCCCAACGCTTGACGGTTGCCACCGCACCAAGACAACAAGTGAAAGACACCAGATCCATCTGACCTGGCGACATATTGAGGTGATGTACTGTAGAATAATGGTCTATTTTGTTATGTTGTGTTATGTTAATGTGTTGTGTGTTGTATTGCATTTGACGCTACCTTGTTGCAAATGCAATTTGCATCTGCATTTCTACTTGATTTTCTTGTATATGCTATATTGTATTGTGTTGTAGTGTATTTGTACGGAGTTGCAATGAGTTGCAAATGTATTTGTCTTTGTATGTGTACGTGCATTTGCATTTGTAGTTGCATTTGCATTTGTACGCGTATTTGTATTTGTGTTGCACTTGTATTCTACTGTGTTGTACTGCTATGTTTTGTCATGTAATGCCATGTTTTGTTAAGTTTTGTTCTATAACATGTTGTTATCTTATGTCATGTGTGTGTGTGTTGCATATGTAATTTGCACAGAAATATGCATAATTGAACCATTTTTTCCTACGTCTATCCCATCTCATTCTACTTTTTTTAGTTGGTTGAAAACGGTTTCCCAATCCTACAAAACCCATCATAATCCCCAGTAAACCTGGTCGTTTTTGATCCCCAGCAACGGTACCACGTGTCGACTCGGGATCACCTCCCACTAGACGCAAGACTCTTCGCCAGGCACCATGGTCACCTTGCAACATCAACTTTGGTAAGAAATGTAATAAATCACCGTTAGTGGTATCATGATTATTAATGGTTAGGTATTATTTTGCAAATCTATACCTAACCGTACCCTGATTTCGTGAACAAATGCCCAGCATTCCAAAATTGGTTCCCCCACGCAGGTGCTCGAACTGTAGGTCATTGCAACCAACCATGCAACCAGCCAAACAACCAATCTAATGGTTGCCTATAGACGAAATTTGCACATGTTTGGCAAATTGTTTCCATGTTCAGATGTTGAATGTTGGTTAAATATTGTTGTGACTACGGTGTTTTTACCGTAATCTGCAAAGAAGGAATCCATTATAGATATGCCAGGTCATTGAGGCACAAAAAAAAACATGTCATTTTCCTGGGCAAAAAACAGTCGATACAAAAATGAAGGGTTTCAGATCCTGGATCATGCCGGTCTCATGTCAAACCCCAGATCATTTTTCAACAACGGCATGTTCATATTACGTTTAAGGTGGGGTTTCGTTCTAGAAAGTGGTATCGGCCATGTCCCCGGTCGAGTTTCTATCTCCACCTATCTACCCAATCTAATCGAATCCGATCTAATCTAAACTGATCTAATCTAATCCGATCTAATGGCGTCGAAACTGATCTGATCTAATCTGATCATCTCGTCGAATCTGATCTAATCTCATCTCATCTCCTCCCATTGTCTCGTTTTCCCTATCTATCGCCTCTATCTAATCTATCTAATTCAATCTACTCTCTCTAATTCATCTAATCTATCTAATTAATCAATGTATCTATCTATCTCTCTCTCTCTCTGTCTATCTCTCTCTCTCTCTCTCTGTCTATCTCTCTCTCTGTCTCTCTCTCTGTCTCTCTCTCTCTCTCTCTCTCTCCCCCTCCATCTATCTATCTATCTATCTATCCATCTATCCATCTATCCATCTATCCATCTATCCATCTATCCATCTATCTATCGATCTATCTATCTATCGATCGATCTATCTATCGATCGATCGATCTATCGATGAAACTATCTATCTATCGATCTATCTATCTATCTGTCTGTCTATCTATCTATCTATCTGTCTATCTATCCATCTATCTCTCTCTCTATCTATCTATCTATCTATCTATCCATCCATCCATCCATCTACCTACCTACCTACCTACCTATCTCTATCTATCTATCTCTCCCTATCTATCTATCTATCTATCTATCTGTCTGTCTGTCTGTCTGTCTGTCTTTCTGTCTATCTGTCTGTCTGTCTGTTTATCTATCTATCCATCTATCTCTCTCTATCTATCTATCTATCTGTCTGTCTGTCTGTCTGTCTGCCTGTCTGTCTGTCTGTCTGTCTGTTTATCTATCTATCCATCTATCTCTATCTATCTATCTATCTATCTTTCTATCTATCTATCTATCCATCTATTTCTGTGCATCATCTCTGTTGATTATGTGTTGGGGGGAGGGCATGGCCTTGGCTCCGGAGCAACTTCTTGGTGGGTTGTGGGACAAATTCGGGGACGGCGAATGTTTTTTTGAATATCTGACATTCTTTCAATTTTTGAAGGTGGCCGATGATTTTTGAAGCTATGCACATGTTGAAATTCTGATTTTGTCCAGGCACTAAATTTAAAATTTCAGACTTTTCGAATTCAATTCTACAACCCTTAAAATTCTAGAAATTCGAATGTTGGAATCTGCAAAATGTTAGATCTTTTTTTCATCTTAGAATCGAAGTTTTAAATTTCAAAAACAATGGATTAGAATTCGTCGAAGCTGGCCAGACCTAGTGTTGAATTCTGAAATTCAAAAAATTCTATAGCGATGGGCATGCTGTTAGAACGCATTCCTAATGGGGGCAAAGGTGCTATCGACGGATCGAAACGATAGAGTTATAAATATATATATATTTATATTTATTTATAAATATATATATATACCACACACCCACACACATTGCTTTCATGGTTCTTAAATGAATCATGTGCATGAATCATGTCAAGGGCTGCAATCCCTGAGGAGAGAGGGAGTCTGACTGACCTGCTAAGTTGAGATCGCCGGAAGCTGGGGCATGCTGCCCTTTGGCCACGTCACGCCAAAGCTGTACATCCCAGGCCCAATGCCGCCTTGGGATTTTCTGTGTCGTTTGCTGCGTGCTCCCTGGTCTCGAGCATGGGGCTTCAACATTGGCCGCGCTTCATTCATTGCGAAACACTGGCAGACTGCTGCCATGCTGTGGCTTCAATTCTGGCAGCGACTGCTGCCATGGCTGCCACATTCAGTTGGCCTGGCCATTGGTCGGCTCCGAAGTTGATCCATCATCTGGTCCATCAGCGGATCTCTCTTGCAGGGCCAGTCAGAAGGCAGCTGCCCAGACTCAGGCTAAGCTGCATGGATTGAACTCCACCAGCACGTTCAGAAATGAAGTGGCCCAGTACCAGGGTGACAGCGTGATCGGCAGGACAATGTTTGGATGATTGTTTCCTGATGATTGAAAACCTCCCCGACTCAACAAAGATCCCTCAACAATGTTGAAGTCAGCCAATGAAATGGGTGTTGTGTGATCCCATCATCACAACTAAGTCAACATGCAAAAAAAAGCCCCGCAATATAAAAACCTTCCCGCAATATAAGAATGTGCCATCGCGGCACGTCGTTTTTGCATGTCGACGGCCGCAGTTACATCGTTTTTGGCATGTCGACGGGCACAGGCGTCACTTTGGCATGTCGACGGGCACATTTTGGCATGTCGACGGCCGCAGTTACGTCGTTTTTCGGCATGCCCACGGGCACACATCATTTTGGCATGTCGACGGGCGCATTTTGCATGTCGACGGGTGCATTTACTATTTTACACTTTACTATTTTTTCTTTCCAGGCTACTTTTTTGCATCGTGAGCCGTTATTTTGACATGTCGACGGGCGCAATTTGCATGTCGACGGGCCCATTTACTATTTTACACTTTACTATTTTTCCTGTCCAAGCTACTTTTTTGCATCGCGAGCCGTCATTTTGACATGTCGACGGGCGCATTTTGCATGTCGACGGGTACATTTACTATTTTACACTTTACTATTTTTCCTTTCCAGGCTACTTTTTTGCATCGCAAGCCGTCATTTTGACATGTCGACGGGCGCAATTTGCATGTCGACGGGTGCATTTCCTATTTTACACTTTACTTTTTCCTTTCCAGGCTACTTTCTTGCATTGCGAGCCGTCATTTTGACATGTCGACGGGCGCATTTTGCATGTCGAGGGGCACATTACTATTTTACACTTTACTAAGTACTATTTTTCCTTTCCAGGCTACTTTTTTGCATCGCGAGCCGTCATTTTGACATGTCGACGGGCGCATTTTGCATGTCGACGGGTGCATTTCCTATTTTACACTTTACTGGCTACTTTTTTGCATCGCGAGCCGTCATTTTGACATGTCGAGGGGCACATTTACTATTTTACACTTTACTATTTTTCCTTTCCAGGCTACTTTTTTGCATCGCAAGCCGTCATTTTGACATGTCGACGGGCGCATTTTGCATGTCGACGGGCACATTTACTATTTTACACTTTACTATTTTTCCTTTCCAGGCTACTTTTTTGCATCGCAAGCCGTCATTTTGACATGTCGACGGGCGCATTTTGCATGTCGACGGGCACATTTACTATTTTACACTTTACTATTTTTCCTTTCCAGGCTACTTTTTTGCATCGCAAGCCGTCATTTTGACATGTCGACGGGCGCAATTTGCATGTCGACGGGTGCATTTCCTATTTTACACTTTACTATTTTTCCTTTCCAGGCTACTTTTTTGCATCGCGAGCCGTCATTTTGACATGTCGACGGGCGCATTTTGCATGTCGAGGGGCACATTACTATTTTACACTTTACTATTTTTCCTTTCCAGGCTACTTTTTTGCATCGCGAGCCGTCATTTTGACATGTCGACGGGCGCATTTTGCATGTCGACGGGTGCATTTCCTATTTTACACTTTACTGGCTACTTTTTTGCATCGCGAGCCGTCATTTTGACATGTCGACGGGCACATTTACTATTTTACACTTTACTATTTTTCCTTTCCAGGCTACTTTTTTGCATCGCAAGCCGTCATTTTGACATGTCGACGGGCGCATTTTGCATGTCGACGGGCACGTTTACTATTTTACACTTTACTATTTTCCCTTTCCAGGCTACTTTTTTGCATCGCGACCGAGCCGTCATTTTGACATGTCGACGGGCGCATTTTGCATGTCGACGGGTGCATTTCCTATTTTACACTTTACTATTTTTCCTTTCCAGGCTACTTTTTTGCATCGCGAGCCGTCATTTTGACATGTCGACGGGCGCATTTAGTATTTAACACTTTACTATATTTTACTATTTTTCCTGCCTCTGTCTCACTTGTGTCTCGGAAGACCCCTCACTTGCGTCATCATCATCATCATCATCATCATTATCATCATCATCATCTTGGGTTGGTGGGTGCGGTGGGGTGGGGTGGGGTGGAGTTTGATAACGTCTTTCGGTTCTCAGCACAGGGACTCTCTATAGCCTAACGCTATGAAATCTTCTCTTGTGCCTCCACACATATGTTACGCTATGAGATCTTCTCTTGTACTTGCATACCAACATGGTGCCACGCTATCAGATCTTCTTCTGGCTCTGGCCTGGGGGCGGTGGGGTGGGGTGGGATGTGCTCACGTCGTTCGGCTTTCGGCACAGGGACTGTATCCTACCGCTATGAGATCTTCTCTTGTGCTTCCACACATTTGCTACGCTATGAGATCTTCTCTTGTACTTGCACGCCGACATGATGCCACGCTATCAGATCTTCTTCTGGCTCTCCGGGAGTGGGGCGGGGTGGGGTGTGATAACGTCCCTCGACTGCAGGCACAGGGACTCTATCCCAACGCTATGATATCTACTCTTGCGCTTCCACACATATGCTGCGGTATGAGATCTTCTCTTGTACTTGCACACCGACATGATGCCACGCTATCAGATCTTCTTCTGGCTCTGTCTTTGATGATGATGATGATTACGGTGATGATGATGATCATCATCATGATGATGATGATGATGCTGATGATGATGATGCTGATGATGATGATGTTGATGTTGATGATGATGATTTGGGAGTCACAGGCGAAATGACTTTGGAGTCACAAGCGGGCGGAATTTGGAGTCACAAGCGAGACATTGCCCGGTAGAATGCCAGATATATTGTCAGAAATAATGCCGATAAAATTTCAGAGAGGCGATGTGGAGCAATAATGCAACATATAAGCCTTGTGAAAAAGTACAAGTAGAACCCGCGCGAGGCGAGTGGCGGAAGTTTCAAGGTTTAAGGACTGTAACGCTATAGGATGCTGTTTTGGCCTGTCATGTTGACGGAAACTTGTTTGGCATGTCGACGGGAACAACCCTGTCGACATTCTGCTGTCGTCACATAGATTGAGCCAGTGCTTCTGCGCACGGCTAGTCCTTCACCCCACATGTTGCTTATCAAACATGTCTCTCTGGCTTGCACGCCTGGGTTGGCAACATTTCTGATGCTACTTACGACAGAAAAAAACATCTTTGAAATTAACTTCTTTGAAGGACACAACCCCTATCCGTACGGACAGAGATGGCTCACGGACTTAGTTGATGAATGATTCTGCCATTATAGGAGGTGGTTTGGCATGCGGACGGGCAGGACCCCTTGGCACATTGACGGACAAAACCCCTTGGCATGTCGACGGAGGCAACTCCAGGGATGTTGACGACGGATTTTGGCATGTCGGCAGACACCATCGTTTTGGCATATCGACGGCCACTCTGTTGGCATATCGACGGAGACAATCTTCTTTGGCATGTCGACGGAGAATTTTTTTTGCATGTCGACGGAGACAATCTTTTTTGCATGTCGACGGCGACAATCTTGTTTGGCATGTCGACGGGAACAATCTTTTTTGCATGTCGACGGAGACAATCTTGTTTGGCATGTCGACGGGAACATTTTTTTGCATGTCAACGGAGACAATCTCCTTTGGCATGTCGACGGGAACATTTTTTTGCATGTCGACGGAGGCAATCTTTTTTGCATGTCGACGGAGACAATCTTTTTTGCATGTCGACGGAGACAATCTTGTTTGGCATGTCGACGGGAACATTTTTTGCATGTCAACGGAGACAATCTCCTTTGGCATGTCGACGGGAACATTTTTTTGCATGTCGACGGAGGCAATCTTTTTTGCATGTCGACGGAGACAATCTTTTTTGCATGTCGACGGAGACAATCTTGTTTGGCATGTCGACGGGAACATTTTTTTGCATGTCAACGGAGACAATCTCCTTTGGCATGTCGACGGGAGCATTTTTTTGTATGTCGACGGAGGCAATCTTTTTTGCATGTCGACGGAGACAATCTTTTTTGCATGTCGACGGAGACAATCTTGTTTTGGCATGTCGACGGGGACAACCCTTTTGGCATGTCGACGGTCGTTTTGGCATGTCGACGCGTCGTATCCCCTGGCTTCCAAGTAATTGTGGAGCCCAGGAATCTGCTAGGCAAGTCTCTTCCAAAGTGTTGTGGCGTGCCGGTGCATGAAGTGATCCCTGGCGATACAGGAGATGGAGTGCTCCGGTGAGCCTTGGCTGCGGGAAGACTCGCATCAGGTCACCCCTTTCAACTGCGGTCGCTTCTGCCGCAGTGTGCCAGGGGCGGCGGCTGTGGAAGCGGTCGACGCAGGTTGGCACCTCACTTAGTGTTCGTGCTGCTGTCTGCTGCACCGCTTCCAACTGAGCTCTGATTCGACTGCCGCCAGCATGCTAGATTGGCCGCACATGGCGCTAGCAGTGCAACAGCTGCCATGGCTGCCACCCCATCGGTCACCGGGCGCGTCCGCATCGTCTTGCGCAGCCTTGCAATCAAGCGGAGCCCGCGATTCTAGTCTTTCGAGCGTCTCATTGGGCTTGATCGTTTTCAGTGACTTGTTCGCCTGGCTGTGCATGAGCTCATGCTGGTCAACAGTCAACCGGACACAAAATACCGCGACGCGAAAATGTTGCCCGCCACGAGACCACTGCTGCCTGCCACGAGACAACAGGTGGAGAAAAAAGAGACATATATAAATATAAAGGCAATCGGAAAAAAGCAGGGGAGAGACAGAAGGGGGAAAGAAGCGGGAAAGAAGTGGGGAAGGGGTGAAGGAGTGGCGAAGAAGTGGGACACGTGGTAGACAAATGAAATTCTTCCATAAAGCTCGGTACAGAGACACAAGCAGAAGACAAGCAAGAGACAACTAGGGGCAAAGAAAGTTTGTCCGTCCCAAAGCAACTACAGGACAGCACATGACCCCCATCGAAGAATGGCTTCTACAGAATCGGAGATTGTAGGCTTGCAAAGCAGTAGCTACGAGCCGTCTGATAGTCAAATCCAGATTCAATCCCTGGTAGATTCATAAATCCCAATCTCCAATTTGTTTCTGGTAAAATCCCCATTGTGTCTTTTATCGGAGGGTCAAGTCTCTCTTCTTCTTACCCTCATTATCATTAGCAATACTCTTGCTACAACTAATGCTCTTACTATTATTACTTTTTTCACTATTATTAGTCATTATTATTGCTATTATTCTAGATTCTTATCATCATTAATGTGGTTAAAACAAACATATGCCATTCCCAAATTCACCAAAAATGGGTTGTATAAACCATCGAAAATGGGGGGGTACTATTGTTTTAACCACATTATTGTGATTCCTTATGATTCTGATCGTGATTTCTAGTGAGATCAAGCCCAGCTGAACTGTTTTGGGACCCTCACCTGCTCTGCCGCCAACGCGTTCCGCCGCCAACGCCCAAGGCACTCATCCGCTGCGCAGCACTGTTCTTGGACACCGCATCACCCAGCCGGCGCCGCGCACCATAGCTCCTGGGTCAGGCTAGTTTGAGATCATCAAACGACATTGACTATTTCAATGGTATATACATATATATACATATATATATATATTATATATTATAAATTATACATTAAATATGCTAAATATTCTATATCATTCCAGTGACGTCGCGACGTGAGGTCGTTGTGATTCAGCCGGAATTAATGGCTTTGCTATGGCTGCTTGGGATGTGATATGGAATAATAGCAACACTAATGACAAGAGTAATGATGAACATACTAGTAAGGTAACGGTGGTAGTAATATTAAATGGTAACAAGAATGGGATCTTAAAACAACTTGATATATGCAAATGTGTCTAAAAGTTGTGAGTTCATTCTAATTGTATGTATAATTTATGTTTCACCCGTGGATTGTGGCTTGGATGGTCCATTTCCACTATGGTGGCTAAGGTGAACCCTTGCACTTCCGATGGCGGAGGTCCTATCGGTCCTATCCAAACTACTCATGGCAAGTTGATCATTTTGATTCTACTTGGGGTCTATGCTACTGCCATATTCTTAACCCACCCGAAGCCGACCCCACATGAAGTCCCTTATTTTGGAGACCCAACGCCGACACGGCACAGAAGGCTCAAGGCAGTGGCCCAGGCCGCACCCGCCAATACACTGTTCAGCGCCACCACATCCTGGGAGTCACCACGGAGAAATGTTCGCACCACGCTTTCGATTCCCAGGATTGAATATAGGATATATATATATATAGTAATAACAATAATAATAATAATAATAGTAATAATAATAATAATAATAGATGATGTATATATGATCACATTCTCAATCATAGGTTTTTAAAAAGTAAGAGACCATCAAGCACCAAGCGGCAACTCGTTGACAGCAGCCTTTGTCAACCAAAAGTAGAATCAAAGGGACCGCCCGCGAGAACAACATATTGTGAAAGTCGGAAAAATGAAGTTCAGGCTCATTTGATTCGCCTGTTTGTTCCTTGTTTCAATTTGTTGTTTCAACTACGTTGACAAATATCCCTGGTTTCATTGTCCGTCCACCCCTTTTGGTTTGCACACAGTTTTTTTGGGTCAAATCCCACCCTTCTTTTGGTTTAATCACATGGAATCCTCTATTCCTGCTGTCATCCAACCCAAACCCAAATTGTTTTTTCCGTGCTGGCCGGTGCTCCAACCTGGCGATATACAAGTTCCCTTTCAGCTCGTGCGAAACGATTTTAGCTCGTGTCCCCCGTGTATACAATTTTAAAGATTGTATCGCCTTCCAATGTCAAAATGGATATCTGCAAAGCCCCTTGCGTCCATGATGTTAAACTATCGGTCCCTCAACGAGCAGCTTGCATTCATGCAGAGGTTTACTCGGGAACATGCAACGGAAAAAATAGGAACCTTGGCGAGAGGAGTACGCGTGCCCATCAGATCCGTTGTGCTGCCACATTCTCTTCGCAATATTGGTCACACTAAGCTTGCGCTTGCAAGTTGCAGTTGGTCCTCTGCATTCTCTACATCCATCAAGAGCAAACAACAGGATGAAGCGCATCACCAACTCCACTGTTCCACTGTGGCGTCAACAACTGCGCCCCTTTAAAAATGCGAAGATATGGAGCTTTCAAGGCTGGGGACGTACCTTTAAAGATGTGCTGCTGGAAAGTCTCGGAGGAAAGCTGCAACTGACTGAGCTCCGTTCCTAAAACCATCATGGTAACAGCTGCTATCGCCGTCGTAGCAAACAAAACGTCGTAACAGACAAAACTTCGTCACGGCTGAGTCAACCAATGAGTATATATATATACATATTATATTATATCAAAATACATATGTATATATATATATATATATACATTATACATATAAATATATATACATTATACATATATATATATACATTATACATATATAATTATTATACTCTATATATATATAGTTGGACATGAATCCCATCTTCTCTCCCACGTGATTTTCCCATCAGAGTGCCCCCTCCACGCCACGCCACGGCTCCACGGACTCCACGGCGCCGCAACAGCTCCAGTGCCACCGGCCAGCGCGAGACGCGCATCACGGCGGTGTCGAAGATCAGGTGCTGCATCTGGGCACGGGGAAGGGCAGAAAACAGGGGAATTGATTCATGAAAAACATGATTTACATGGGATATTAAACATCAATGAATGGTGATTAATGGTATGTTTTCATGGGATATCAATGGTATGTTAATGGGATATTAATGGGATATGTTCAATGAATGGTGATTTAAGCAGGTGATTTAAATCAGGGGAATTGATTCATGAATGGTTAAATCAAAAATGGTGATTTAAGCATCAATGATTTAAATTTGGACTTCAAAAAAAAGGGACCTCACCATCAATGAGGATTTAAAGCATCAGAAGGATTTCATATATATTTTTTGACCAACAATGAGGATTCAACCATCAAGAATGGGGATTTGTGATCCAGGAAATGGAATATAAACGGGACATGGGATGTACATGGGATGGAATAGGATTGAATATGATGCAATGGGATGGAATTGGATTGATGGAATTGGATTGATGGAATTGGATTTATGTGGGTTCATAGATATCAAGCCGCCTCTGCATATAAAACATTATAAAACTATGTATACCAGGATTTCTTCCACTATCAACCACCGAGACATGGCTGGGTTTTTGGGCAGGTGGGAAGATCCAAAAATCGTGAGCAGATGAGAATGCTCGAAACTATATCATTCTACTGGTTTGGGAAGAATTCAAGAAATAACCTGGGAACGGGACCCGTTCTATCAAACACATGTCATAAGCGAGCTGTTGAAGGAAGCAAATAAATGCATAGGGGAACAAACAAGCGAACACATCGACAGGCTCCTAGATAATATCGAATAAGGTTCTCACATCAATCGAAACCAAGTTCATGTCTCCTTGAAGTGCCATGTCCATTGGTTTATTCCGTCCAACCCCCAGTACGACGCATTATACTCAGATGCGATTCACTGGAAGACTCAGAAGGAAACAGTTTGCACAAATCCATATCGGGCTGGATCGAAGAATTTCAACCTTTGAAATCTGAAACCACCAACATCTGCACAAAATGCTTCTGGGACCCATCATCTGGACACATCCTAGATCCTCATCATGAGATTACTTAGAATGTCAGCAAAAGCTCAATGATGCACAACCCACATATGCGCCATGGCAAAAAGATGGTAACATAAACTGCCAGTAGCACCCTTGTGGCGGAAGTTTCAAAGATAGGAAACTATAGGAGAGGTGAGTTGGATGGCAGAGCGAACCCACTGACGGATCCAAAGGTGGTTGAGGCTCTGAGTTTCTCTCTATCTGTCTATATATATATACATATGTAACTCTCTTTGTCATCTTCTCTCTGTGTCTCTCTATCTCCCCCTCTGTCTATCCCTTTGTCTATCTGTCTATCTATCTATCTATCTATTTATCTATCTATCGACCTATCTATCTATCCATTTATCTATCTATCTATCCATCCATCCATCTACCTACCTACCTACCTATCTATCTATCTATCTCTCTCTCTCTCTCTCTCTTCTCCTCTCTGTCTTTCTACCTCTGTCTATCTATCTACCTTTCGATTCCTATCTATCGATCTATCTATCTATCCATGTATCTCCAGCGTAGTGTAGTTGTAAATGTTGTAGTTGCAGTTGTAGTTGTAGTCTGGTGTAGTGTAGTGCGGTGTAGTGTCGTGTAGCTGCAGCCTGGTATAGTGTAGTTGTAGTTGTTGTTGTAGTTCTAGTTGTACTTGTAGTTGTAGTTGTAGCGCTGTGCAATGCAGCGTAGTAGTGTAGTAGCGTAGTACCGCAGTAGCGTAGTAGGAATTTAGCGTAGCACGTAGCATTGTAGCATTGTAGCATTGTAGCGTAGCAGGTAGCGTTGTAGCGTTGTAGTAGTTGTAGTAGTTGTAGTAGTTTTAGTAGTTGTAGTAGTTGTAGTAGTTGTAGTAGTTGTAGTAGTTGTAGTAGTTGTAGCAGTTGTAGTTGCAGTTGTGGTTGTGGTTGTTGTTGTGGGTCTACTGATTCTTTCTCTTCTGTCTGTTGCTTCATCTGTCCATATTGTCGGAAGTTTGACTTCTAAACTTCCTTCGATCATTAGGCATTGCTCATCATGAGGATATTGACCCCTATATTAATGGATGACCATCCCCCTTTTTATGGGAAAATAGCCTATGTAACTTGACCGTGGCACGCATGGCACCACCACCCAACATACCACTCCTTCCTCTGGCTGAACTAAGCTGCCGGCTCACCTTCCACATTGGCTGCAGCCCAGTAGCGCAGCCATAGCGCTTGGGGCCACTGGTGCGATGGCAAACGTGCGCTGAGGGCCGAGAAATGGATCCTGTGGCGCAGTGCCACGCAGTGCCACGCAGTGAAACATGGGACGTGACATGGACCATGCGTTACCTCCGTCAATGCTCCATCGCCATAGGTTACCGGAGGGTATGGATTGAAATGGTGACAATTTTGATGGGAAAACACGCAGAAGTGGGCATGCAACAGGCACTGGATGAAAGCCATAGAAATGCGGATGATGAGGATGTAATCAGTAATCAATAGAAGGGGGTGCAAGAAATGTGGATACGTCATATTGTCTACTCCATCTGTGATCGCATTCTTGATGGTTGGGCTTGCACGTCCTTGCTTGGCCTTCCCGTTTTCTTTGGTTTTTACCCATTCACTGACAATATCAGACTTTTTGTCACTTTTTATCCTCCCATTCTTTGCTCACCCACCTGTCACACACGGGTATTTTGCTGGTGAATACAACCATTAGTGCAGCTTCAGCCATCTATCCTCTGGCGAAGTCGGAAACCCTCCATGATGGCTGTCTTCCACTTCGTTTCGAAGATTGAGCTGCGAAAAAAGATGTCCATCCAAGGTCCATTGAATCATTGATATATTAAAAAAAATGGATCGAAAACAATAACTTCTAAACCCCTTGGAAAGCCTTGAAAAGCCCTGGGACGCTTTGGAAACCTTTGGGAACCTTTGGAAAACCATCGCAACCTTTGGACACCCTTCAAAAACCCGTGGAAAACATTGGAAAGTTTTGAAAACTGTTTGGGGAAAAACCCATCGTAACAGATTGAACAACCTCAACCAACCCCTGACAACCTCAACCCTGAAGGATTTCGCCCAAGGCTCAGGTCCAGCTCCATCTGCCCATCCCTCAGCTGCCGCAGCAGCGAGACTGCCGAGACATCACAGGCCAGGCGCTTCAGCACCTGCCATGGATCCATGGTGGGCCAGCCTTACCATCAAATGTGGGGGGGTTCATGTTGGTTAGTTATCCTTAGTTGCAGTTGGTTGTGGTTGGTTATATGCTTGTATTATCTTCTGTATGTATATATATATATATGATTAGTTGCGGTCAGTTCGCAGAAACCCTTTGACATGTCATGTCTTTCAAAATGTGGGGGTTCCAGCGGCATCTGGCACTGTTGCAGGGTGGATACCCCAAAATTGCAAAAAGTGGGTTGGGGGACCAACTTGAGAACTCTTGCATGTCTAATTCTGGAAGCAATATACTGTGATGATCGGGTTCCCCAGGGTGACTGTTTTGGACGAGGATGCCGGACCTCTCCGAAGCTTTGAAAAAAGCTTCCTGTGTATGCAGAAAACCTCCAAAAGCCTACCAAAACCGCGAATGATTTTTTCTGATGATCTGCCAAACCTTCAGAAAAACACATCATCGGAGTTCTAAAACCTACAGATCCCTACAGCAACCAAGCCATCCTCGAAGCTCCCGCCTTCGTCCCTTGCTTTGGATCCAAGGCCAGACCATCTACCGCATGGCTCAGCATGGCCCAGCATGGCCGCGCCAGCTGGGATGGATGCGTCAGGAAATGGGGTATGGACGCCCAAAAAAAATGACATGTTCACATGGAAAATGATGGTTCACCATGGGATTTTGAGGTATCGAAGTTCCAGATAAAACCATGATAAACCCATATGTTTTTGGCATTTTCCACGTACTGCCAGCCAGGTGTTACGGTTTTTTTTGACTCTTTGGAAGATGGCAAAAATCAGGGTTCACCTTTTGCTGAGATGACCCAAGCAGTTGGTAATCCCCTTGTCTTTGGGCTGAAACGTCCAAGGGATAAAAGATAAAAAAAAAAGCAAATGGCTGAAAAATCATTGTGCAGGAATACAGCTCTGATGCTGGTTCCGTCCCCAAAATCAATACATGTTCTTTCTGCTTCTTTGGATCTTGATGTTGCATTTCATGACTCTCCGATCGATTCTCTTCTCCTGGTTGTTCTGGAAAACAACAACACATCCCACATCTTACTCCTCTAAAATCACATATCAGATTTTTTAGGATCATACCATGTAAGTAATTGTAATATACATATATAATATGTATATTATATATATATATCATATACATGGCTACCTATATTCATCTTGATCAACTCCAACTCATTCCACACATCCGTCGCCCATCAACCCACCACTTTTCGTCACCAAACGATGCGAGCGATTCGTCGCTGCTTCGCGCCTCAACTATCGAAGAGGGGATTCTTTGCCGCCTCCATGCTGATGGAGGGAAAGGGGAAGTTGTAACATGTTGGAACCAACCAATGGTGATTTTTTGAGATGTCATGGGATATTTTTTAGAAACGAAAAAATCGGGAAAAAAAAACCAGTTGGTGATTTAGCTAAGGAAGCCATGGCCCAGTGATCGATGATTTGTGATGATTTGTCCAGACAAACAATCACGGGATGGATAAAAACATGTGATAATTTCCACAAATTTGGCTGGATGAACCTCCACAAACAACAGCTATTTTGGTGTGAACAGAAGGATACCAGGGATTTTGCTCGAATGATGTATGAATGTGAATTTGATGTGTGGACGGTAGATGTGTGCGTTCAAGTTGGGTTCGGACAGATGGTCTGGATAGATGGTAACCAGTTCCCGGTCAGAAGACATCTTGCTGCTTGCATGACTCATGACCTCCGTACAGAGGTGCAGTGTATATCTATAGATAGGGAGAGAAAGGGTAAAGCTTTATTAGAATTATTGTAGGTCATAGATAGGTACACCTTTATAACTATTTGATAAAAATCAAGGTCAAGCAGCATCACCAAGTTGTGAATCACGTGATGCAGTGGCCTTTTCCGCACTTGTGTCGATCAGTTGCCATGCGATGGACTGCGAAGTGCCTGCACGAAATTATCGCAGCTCCACATCTGGACACAACTGGCGGGCGGAGTCGGAGTTGCCATGGCATGAAGGGAACATAGAAATCAATTGTTAATCCCCATGTTGATATACATATGTATATGCAGAATATGTATATATTATATACAGTGTATATATATATATGCTGTATATATATAATGTAAATATATCAATAAATTCCCATGTTTGTTGGTGGATTAGTAATAATAAACAATACTGCAACGGTTAGTTATATCATAAAACCAACAGTATCGGCATTTTTTTGGCCTACAAGTACAGCTGGCTTTTGCGACTACCATATCCCTCAATCCATTCGCTAGTTGCTGGCAACGCCACCTTCAACCTCCCAGCCTTTAAGCCAGGCGGTCATCATCGCCGCCCTAGTGTCACCTATACACTGGCTGAAAAACGCCAAAAAAGCAGCACTCCGCCGTTAGCGACTTGGATGACTGAGAGCCAAAAGTTGAACTTCACTGGCTGAGTCAAGTACTGGGATTCTATACGGTGCCAGGATCACTTGGACATTATTGACATTGGCTTTTGGATCACTTGAACATTGGGGATCACTTGGAGCTTTGTAGCTTCACTTGGACATGGGTTTCTGGATCACTTGAACATGGGACACTTTGGAGACATGAAGACCACTCCTTCAGGGCTTGACACTTAGGGGACAGGGTGGGGACATGGGGGCATGGGGGGCTGTGGCCCACGTTCAAGCGAGCCAAAAGCCCACGCACAAGCGAGCCAAACGCCCATGTTCAAGCGAACCCCCGCCCTATACGGTACATGGGGAAAAAAAGAGGGAAGACCATGTTGGAGGGTCAAATATCTATATGGGGTGTTTGCAAAATGTTGGTTCCCGAAAGCGGTCGAAATTCGCGTTCTGCCTGGGGCCCGCCTTTTGGCGAATTCATTTCTCACATGTCCTCTTTTTTAAAACCTTTTCCCTAAAATTGTTCCTAGTTTGACTGCCAGTGCTTATTTTTTTGCAGTTGAAGAAGACTCCGGGAAAGGTCAGAAACAGGTCAGAAACAGGTCAGAAACACCAAAAAGGCAGCACTTGCCTAGCATCCATCCATCCATCCACCTCATCTCTTATCATTGCTACTTCTACTTCTACTATTACTATTACTACTTCTACTACTTCTACTACTTCTACTACTACTACTACTACTAATTCTACTACTACTAATTCTACTCGTACTAGTACTAGTACTAGTACTATATAGTATTTCGAGTACTAGTAATCATTTTACTTTGACTATTACTAACAGTGTTTCTCGTTTGGCTGCCCGTGCTTATTTTTTGAAGTTGAAGAAGACTCCGGGAAAGGTCAGAAACAGGTCAGAAACACCAAAAAGGCAGCACTTGCCTAGCATCCATCCATCCATCCACCTCATCTCTTATCATTGCTACTTCTACTTCGAGGCGGTTGAACCCAGATCCGTGGATTGTTTACCAGTCAAGTCAGTACAGCGGCCTAATGTATTTGTGATTGTTCCCCAGCCTGAAAATTCATGGACAGCCTCGTCATACTATGTCTATGTGGGGTGTTGCTGTTTGGGGGAGGCTCTTCATATGAGGTTTTGACCATCTGGCAGAGCGAACGAATTCGAAAATAAGCGTAATTGGGAGTTGGCCTTGGCACAACTGAGTCTGTAGAATCACTTTCATTTGTCAAGTAAGATTTGGCTGATGGACTCGAAAATGTTGGATATGTATGGATACGTCACATGTCAAGGACCTGGTGGAAAATCAAGGATAGTGGAAACAGCCACAAGCTGGTTTGAGGCAAAGCCTAACCCAACATGTCCTTGTGGAGAATGATTCCATTGCGCAGTTGTCGGCCATTAAATCTTCAGATGGCTCCACCCATGCTTCTTGGTCACGGAGTCACGGGGCTGGAATTTGAAAACCCCAAAAGTCGATGGCGTTCCACCAAAAGACCTCTGGCCATCCAGGCGATCCAACTTTGATGAAGACTCCAAGGACTCCAAGGACTCCAAAGGAGGTATCATTCTGTACAAACTGGACCACTGAGGTATCCACTCCTAGTTCTTGCACGCATCTAGATACCTTTATGGTCATCCCTGCAAGGAAGTCATTACGAAGATCATACAAAAGGTGTATAGCTCCAGTTGAATGGATAATTCCACGAAGCCCATTGAATGTCAGTCACTACCTAGCACGTTTTCACCTATGGACAATTTCTAACTTGGAATTCTCAAGAATCTAGGGCTCTCGTTCTGTATTCCTGATGTGTTTGGATTGTTTTTGTGCGATATGCCTACACCCCAACAGACCTAACAGCATTCTCAAGCCAGAAACCTCAGGGTTGAGCCACATCTGACAAAATTCGAGGCCCAAGGGCCGCGCTAGACGCGTCTCATGGGCTACCAGCTGCCCAGATTAAAACCGCGGCCGCATGGCCACAACATATGAAGCCGCACGACTTCGGAGAGAGGCCGGACATGTTTTAACGCTGTTGCATAGTTACCATGAATATGGGATAATATGGGTAGGGTGCCATCGTATCTCAACATACCTCCAAGTTTGGCATTTGACGCCATCTTGTCCAAATGGGACATAACTTGGGATAGTGCGGCCAAGCGGACTATCACAGCATTTAAGAACCGAAGTCCTTGCTACCGTGGTCACAGGAATTGTATCTTGGGAATTCTCCTGGGCTCCTCCGTCATATGCCCATCTCGGGCTTATTATAGTTGTACCATGTTGTACCCACGTTCTTGCTGGCTTTTTTGCCTGTTTTGCTCGCTTGTATTCCTGCTAAGTGTTGGTCAAAAATAACCCTGCACTTGGGAGTACGATTGGTGTTATAAGCCGTAATAACAATAGCTATAAGGATTATTAGCCCAACTCTTACCGCAGTTCTAGAAATGTATAACCCCAACTGCACCGCAAGTCATGATCCTATAGAGTGAACACTCTTCGACTCTTCATACCCGTCCTGACCATTCAATGCATACGACAAGCTCGCGCGCGCGACCAGTTGAATTCATGTCCGCAGACGCACGTCATGTGATCGTCTCATCCCAAGCAGGTCCCTGGGGCCCTTCCCGGCCCTTCCCGGCCCTTCCCAGAATATGGATTGATCCGATGTCAATATCAATCCTATATCAATCCTTCCAGAAGCTTTGGATTTGGATTGATATGCATTGATCGGAACCCAATCTTGTACTGCTATGGCAAACAAACAACGCCTGGCAGGTGTGCTCTATCTCAGTCACCCCCCAAATCCATGGCCCATGCAGATCACACAATGAGATGTGCTCCCGATGACTATCCCAATCTTGGGCCATCGGACCGTCGGGCCTACGCTTCGGCCCCACTTGGACTTTACAAAACGCTTCCCATAATTCAGTATGAATTCTTCGTGCTTTCAGCGCATACTATCCCAAGAACCTTACTCAATTGAAGTGTTTGATTATCCCGAGTGTTAATAGAAAATAAAAACGATAAAAGTCACCAAAAACTGGCGAAAGGAAGCAGGTCCGAGCCAACCGCCAAGTGACATCCCCCTGTCTTTTCAATGGGTACGCCGCATTGCGGGCACTGCTTCCTGCAGCAACAGTGGCGATGAGCGAATTTTCATCTGTCATCTTGACCATTTGCCATGGGGATGTGCACTGACAAATCTGCAGATTTCAGCAAAACCATGAACACCAGAAATCACGGCCGCTTGTTGCGAGCGATACTGCTGTTCAATGCTTGGATTTATTATATTTAGCTGGATTCGAGACGAGTTTTCTGGCACGTTGGCTATGAATATTTGTCAGTTGTTCAGCGATTCATGAGAATTGGGATCCTGGAGCTGGTGAGCACAGAATCGCAGCATCAAAATAGTCATCGTCATCGTCGTCATCATCTTCATCATCATCATCATCATCATCATCGTCATCATCAGAATCCCAGTCTTCATCCCAAGCGATGCAGTATCTGACACATCAGAAAAGGTGCGCTGGGGATTGAACCCATCCAAGAAGCGTCGAGGTGTACCATCCCAAAGCTATGTGTAAGTGTATATATAATCATATGTCATGTATACATATATATATATAGATAGATAAATAGATAGATAGATAGATAGACATCCTTCTTGGGTTCCCCCCTTTTCGGGACCTACCCATTGCTACCCTAATATACGAAATCTCTCCACCATTTCAGACTTTTCGGACCACCAAGTTGCAGCGGTGGAGAGGAGCCGCTGCCAAGCCGCAAGGCATCTCGGGCGTTTTGCAACCAGAGGCCGCCACAACTTGGCACACCTCGGCAACGGTGCCGCGGCTAACCCGGTGGGGAAATCCCCTTCGGAGATGTCCGTTGTATTGTCAGGTTAGATTCCCAGCAGGTAAACGCCAGGCAGGATGATCGTTCCGCGGTGATCCGGACATGGAACGAGTGAGTTGTTTAGAAGAGGTTTGATCCTTTGATCCGGACCTTTTTTTTTCAAGGTATACTAAAGTTGCCTGGTATACATCTTGTCATTTCTTGTTTGGATCAAGGCTATGGATCATGTCCGCGGAGAGAATCCGCATCCGACATATCCGACATATCCGACATCCGACCAGTGACTCCACTGGTTCTCGCACAGGAAGCACATGTAGGTCGCAGCGCCACCTATCTTTCTTGGCGATCCCTCTGCATCCACATGCGTCATCATGTACCATCTGGTTATTATTTAAGATAGCCATGGTATAGATGGCCCATGGAAATAGAGGTTTACCGAACTTAAAAATGGGTGGATTTTCCATGGCTATGTTAAATAACCAGAGGGTACATACAATTGATCATTTCATGAGACAAGCCACTGACAAGTGCATTTGTCTGAGGAGTGGGAAGCAACCACAATGAACAATCTAAGTTAAAGAAAATGCTGGCAGACAGAATGCCTGTGATTTTCTGGCTTTGCATCATGCATCATCTCTTTTCGATCGGGTCCATTTCAGAAGCCCTGTGGATTTGCCGGCTACTGGTGCCATCGAGAAGCTATACGCCACTCCAACACCTCAGATTCAAGTCTTATTTGGCGAAGCTTTGCAAACGGGGATCAATGCAGAACGGTGCAGCCCGAGGGTTCTAGATATGTAAAGCATCTTCACTCATCACCATGTTTTGTTTTGAAATGGGTTGCGAACCGAAATGTTCATGGCCTAGGGTCTGCAAAATGACGAGTTGGTTCTTGGACATACACACATGTCTGCCTTGTTGCATACCTCTGGTATCACAATCATGGTGGCTAAAAAACAAAGTTGAAATTCTATATATAACTGACTCTAGAAATGCAAACATGTCCATTTCGTGTATGTGTACTTACCCACATATGTATCTATATATATACACATATACATATATATATATATGAGTACTATAGATGTTGCTTCGAATCTCCTATATAGTTCTGTTTCTCTGGAGAAGTTTGCCTTTGATGGGAAGTCGCGATCATAACTCCCCAACTTGGAAAGCTCAAGAAAATGGATCGAAGGTCATTTTCCCAGCAGAACCAATCATTTTTATGGATTTTCATGTGGGCCTGTTCGAAAAACCGGTATACCTTCCAAAAATTCATGGGGAAAATTATTTCGAAACCATCAAATGTGTGTGTGTGTGTGTTTCCCCCTAATTGTCGGGATAAAGCCATCTTAACTATGTTGGTTATGTATCCCATTATTATTTCATATCCCATTACATCCCGGTAAAAAAAAAAAACATAAAATCACCATTGGCTTTGAATCAAAACCCTGGCACCATGGGTGCTGGATTCATCCCCATATGGACTGACTCCAAAGTCATGGGGGTACCCCGTCACACCATTTTCCCTGGGACTTTCCCGAAAAATGGGGTGTTCCTAAAATGTTGCTACCTCCAAATCATCCTAATTTTGATCTGGTTTTCCATGAAATAAACCATCCAGCTATTGGGGATACCCCCATTGATGGAAATGCCCCGCATCCGTGGCAGCCACGTGGCAGAAGGGATCAGGGCAGTCACAGCAGCGCCGCCCATGGGCACGCGCCTGCAGCACGGCGCGGAGCCGCAGATCGGCCAACAACTTCACCAAGGGAGGACACCTCGACCACGGCCACGGCCGTAGGAATGTCTAAAACAGGTCCCTGTAGCTGGCTCCAAACAAAGGTCCCAGGTATTTTTTGGGGAGTAAAGAAAGAGGTCAAATGCGATGATTTACCCATAGTAGATTGGAGAAACCCAGTTGATTGGTTTCAAGAAAAAAAATCAGCTGGAAAAAGGTTCTATTTATTAAGCTGATCGCAGATCTTTTCTGAAATGAACAGAAGCGAAGCCCCCAAAAGATTCAGAAAAGGTTTAACATTTACCTCTATTTTGGGATGGAACAACAAAACAATCGCGTGACTGATGGTTACTGCTGGTTGTTTATGGCCATTGGGATATAATGGAGCATTGATTCTGACCAGATCGACAAGCAGAAATGGAGATTCCTCAAACTGGAATGTGCATTTCACCAACGAAATTGCAAAGGAGTTCTTCCTCAAAATGAAGGCATAACACTTATTGTGAAAGGTAGACATGCGACAACCACGTAAAGAACTGAATTGGTCGAAAGTTTCTTTATTTCTTTATTTTATTTTACTGAAATAAATTCGGCAATTGGATGCTCTTGAGGATAGGACCAACCCATAGGATGAATAAGCAATGAGTAACAACTGTCGTGAGTAACACGAATGTGATATGGAGGATTGTATCATATTGAATTCATATCGTATCAACCATCAATGAAATCGTTGTGTCATTCGTGTTACTTGGATCGTCCCTCCATTTTGTTGTTTTGCAACATGCGTTTGATTCCCCCAAATAAAAAAAACATGGATTCATCTCATCTGAGAGGATTGACTAATCCTCATAGGACCTGAAACATCAAGGAAACAATGGTGGTGCATCAGTCATCGCCCCAAAATGGCAAACCGGAAAAGATCCACAGGGCGCTGAACCAAAATATTGGATCATGCGGCGATAAAGTGCTCCCACTTCAACCGGTTCTTTCATGCCAGAGGGCATCACATCCCCACAGGCCCCTGACCAACCAGCTCCAGGCACCCACATGTCCTACGAGACGAGCATTTGCAGCTGCCCAGCTGCGCAGTTTCTGCCTGCCACAAGACCTCTTCTGGAACGTGTCCAGTGCAGCCCACGGCCATGTTCAAACATGGTAACTGCAACCTGCAGCATTTTTTTCGGGGCGGAGTCCACGCAACAAAGGTCGGGAGGTCAACTGATGATTTGGAAGATTACAGGGCAGGTTGGATCCATGACATCACAGATTTCACAGGGTTGTTGACATGTACAAGTCTGTTCAGTTCAGGCCTTCGGTTGGAGGCCATGATGGCAACTTGATTGGGTTGTGACGCCCAGTTCAACACGCAGGTCTGGCACCACGAGTGCTTGCAAGTGGATGACGTGCACGACCGTATCCTCAAGGGCTGGCACAGGGGTGGCACCTGGGAGTGCGGCTAGGCTCCTGGATTAGGCAAGGTTGGAAGAGGTGATATTGATAGCTCAAAATGACGCACGATGACATTCACGAGGACGAGGACGAGGACGACGACGACGACCACTGCGGTGAAAAAATGGTGATGCTTAAAAAAAGGAGGTGATGAGGAAAATGATGATGTTGGTGCTGGTCCCGATGAGGATGTTGATAATGATAATGGTTGTGATGATGATGATGATGATGATGGTGATGATGATGATGATGATAACGATGATGATGATGATGATGATGATGATGATGCTTGTGCCGGTGGTGGCGGTGGTGGTGGTCGTGACTATGATGATGATGATGATGATGATGATGGTGATGATGATGATGATGATCATCATCATCATGATGATGATCATGATGATGATGATGAGGAGGAGGATGATGATGATGGTGATGGTGGCCATGGTGATGGTGGTGATGATGATGATGATGATGGTGGTGGTGGTGGTGACTATGCTGATGATGATGATGATGGTGATGATGATGATGGTGATGATGATGATGATGATGACCATCATCATCATGATGATGATCATGATGATGATGAGGAGGAGGATGATGATGATGATGGTGGCCATGGTGATGGTGGTGATGATGATGATGGTGGTGGTGGTGACTATGATGATGATGATGATGATGGTGATGATGATGATGATGGTGGTGGTGATGATGGTGATGATCATCATCATCATCATGATGATCATGATGATGATGAGGAGGATGATGATGATGATGGTGATGGTGGCCATGGTGATGGTGGTGATGATGATGATGGTGGTGGTGGTGACTATGATGATGATGGTGATGATGATGATGGTGATGGTGATGATGATGATGGTGGTGATGATGATGGTGGTGGTGGTGGTGGCGGTGACTATGATGATGATGATGATGATGATGATGATGATGATGATGATGATGATGATGATGATGATGATGATGATGATGATGGTGATGGTGATGATGATGATCATGATGACGGTGGTGATGATGGTGATGATGATCATGATGATGATGATGATGATGATGATGGTGATGCTGGTGGTGATGTGTAGGGGGATGAAAACTATGAGGGTGCTGTGGCCTCGATGGTAGACCGTCCATGTCTAGGAGAGGGAAAGCAACCAGCGCCCCTTTCACTGCTTGGCGGCGGCAAATTTTGCCACATGCAATATATCCAATATATTTTAAGCATGTTTGTCAGGCTGGAGTTAGGATCGACCAGGTGTGGATACCACTCTTGGCCAAATCTTCCTATGATCAATCTTGTCAGCAAGTTCATTCATCTATATACTTAAATCTACTTCCAGAACCATTTGCAGAAAAATCCTCAGAATTCACGCCAGGGATCAAATGAGTATGGACCCAGTTGAGGCAGATGGGGCAATGAAAGAAGTTGGCCTTTAATATCTCGTCAATCCCCTTCCGCAGGCTTTCCGACCGCCCTCTCTCGTTCATCTTGGCCTGCAACCAGCTTGGTTCCTGAGTGCTACTCATATCGCCAGTCTGGCGATGCGATTTTTTAAAGAGAGTTGACTGCATGTGTAGTGCTGCTTTTGACATTATATATGAACACGATATATGAGCTCATGTATACACATGTATGCATGTATGTATGTATGTATGTATGTATGTGTGTATGTAGGTATGTACGTATGTATGTATGTATGTATGTATGTATGTATGTATGTATACGAATACACCTATACAAACACACATACATAGGAAAAATATTTTCACCCATACACACACGTACACATACACATACGCACGTACGCATATACAATACGTATACATTGACATTTGCATATACGCATACACATACGCATACATATAAATACATATGTGATTTACTTGTGTATATATATATGTGTGTATATATATATATGCATTTGTTACCCCGATCTTGTGCTTTGACTTCCTTTTGTGGATTTCAGCCCCCCATTGTTGGATTTCGTGGCCCCAGCATCCGGCAGCAACTTGGCAAGGCTGGAGTGACACGTTTCCCGGACTCGCCTCACCGACTCCACCTGACCCCCGGACTCGCCACGGGGCCACAAACTTGGACGAAGTGACTAGTTTTCAGATAGTACTTGGTGGCTCATCCCACTTAGTAAGTGGATTATAAGCCCAGTTATAAGTGGATTAACCCTACTTATCCCATTTATAACTGGGGTTATAACCCACTTACTAAGTGGGATGAGCCACCAAGTATGTATTACTGATATACTAAGTGACATGAATACTGATGATCCATTTTTTTTCCTAGCCATAGGTCTAGGTGAGAGCTGGCACCACAGCATCTATGCTCTCAGGTGAAAAAAACTCTCAGAAAGGCGCTTCACGGTTGAAGGCCCATGTTTTGATCTGTTCGCGGTGTTCCCCATTCTGTATTTCAAACGGTATGTGCTCATTGTGTCTGAGCCAGCAATCTTTCATGGTTTCATATGTCCACGCTGCTCTTGGGCGTCCCACCCTTCTGTGTTCAACTTGTTGTGGCAGAAGTTTGCTTGTTGCAAGCGTTGCTTGGCGTTGCGGGTGGTCTCTAGGTCTTCTGATGGTATGGCCTGACAGTTTCCTTCGTTTGTCTCTTTAAATGTCACTTAATGGACGGATGATTCCATCTGCGCCTTCACCCATTTCCAAATCTGCGCCTTCTGATGATCTATGACGATCCCAAATTTATCCCCCAACATATCGAAGGTAAGGGCAATGTGGTTAATAACCACCGCAATATTCACACTCACCAACTGGAATTTTGGGCCCAACTGGAACCCTGGGACTTGAACCTGGAGCGTCGCAACACTATTGGGGAGCGTCCATGTTCTGGCGTTGTCAATTTCGCATGTGAAAATGTCCAGAGATGGTGAATTTACATGAATTTACCGCATTTCATTCCCATTGTCACAGAGAAAACTCATTTCTAAACCGATGAGATGATTCAGTATACATCGAGACAAAGCTGACAAATTCCATGTCATATCCCAGGACCTGTCATGATTAGTTCCATTTTCTGTTTCAATCACCATCTGGTTGGTGGTTTCAACCCTACCCCTCTAAAAAATGATGGACTTCGTCACTTGGGATGATGACATTCCCAACTGAATGGAAGCCATACCAGAGGGTATTTCCTAAAAGAATACCCCATGAATTGGTTGGTGAATTCCCTACAAGGTGGTGCCCCATAGTTAGCTAAGTTGGTGAACATAACTCCCATAACTATGGTTTATGGCAGATATAACGAACTAGTTAATGGGTGTTATAAACCAACTTATAACTAGGGGGCCCCACCTTGTATGAATCACCATGAATCAGCAGTACTTGGTGGCTCATCCCACTTAGTAAGTGGATTATAAGCCCAGTTATAAGTGGATTAACCCTACTTATCCCATTTATAACTGGGGTTATAACCCACTTACTAAGTGGGATGAGCCACCAAGTATGTATTACTGATATACTAAGTGACATGAATACTGGGTAAAAAAAAATCGTGATATGGATTACTTAGTTATTTATCTTCAGATATACTTAGTAATAACTAAGTGATTACTGGGTAAATTAGAATATGTCACTAATCTGAAATAAGGCCCGCATACTTCGCAAGCGGCCCTCCCACCTGAAATGACTGTCGTTCCAACCCAGATATATGATATATTAGTGTCCCATTTAGTTATCTAATGACCATAAGTTCGTTACTTGGGGCTGATTCATGGTGAATATCTTCATTGGTAGTTTGTTATGGTTGGATAGGTTTTTGCTCAAAGGGAAAAGCACCACGTGCTTGGATAATCGATGTTAACACCAACTGACAAACTGACACCCTCAAAAGGAGAACGGCTATGCAACACTCGACTTGAAAAACGGGCAACAAACATCACTGACAGGTAGGTGAATTGCATGTTACCCCCAGAATCAATTTAGTTGACTGCAAGCCCACCAAGTGGATGTGAACATGGATCATTGCTCAGACGGTATACCCGGACAGGCAAGATTACACAAACCTCCCTGCTGCTATCTCAACGGGATTGCTCAAGCTCGAGCCAGGCTGAGGAATGATTCTGAAACCAAGGATGATTCTGCAACCAAAACCGGATGATTCTGAAACCAAAACCGATGATTCTGCAACCAAGAATGGTTCTGAAACCAAAAAAACTGATTCTGAAACCAAGGATGATTCCGAAACCAAGGATGATTCCGAAACCAAGGACACCTGGAAACCAAAATATCCCACCCCACCCCACCCCACCCCACACCACCCCCCCGCATCTGGGGACGATGCCATGTTGAGTGTGGCCGCAAGTGTGTCAAAGGAAGGAAGCAGCTGCCAGGACGTTTATCTCCCACCCCACCCCACCCCCCCGCATCTGGAGACGATGCCATGTTGAGTGTGGCTGCAAGTGTGTCAAAGGAAGGAACGCAGCTGCCAGGACGTTATTATCCCACCCCACCCCACCCCACCCCCGCATCTGGGGACGATGCCATGCTGAGTGTGGCCGCAAGTGTGTCAGAGGAAGGAACGCAGCTGCCAGGACTCCCACCCCACCCCACCCCACCCCCCCGCATCTGGAGACGATGCCATGTTGAGTGTGGCCGCAAGTGTGTCGAGGAAGGAACGCAGCTGCCAGGACGTATTATATCCCACCCCACCCACCCCACCGACCCGACCCCTCATCTGGGACGATGCCATGTGAGTGTGGCCGCAAGTGTGTGAGAGGAAGGAACGGCTGCTAGGACGTTATTCCCACCCCACCCCACCCCACCCCCCCCGGCATCTGGAGACGATGCTACGTTGACTGTGGCCGCAATTGTGACGCGGATGTTGGTTTCTGAGTCGTGCGGATGGTGGTTGGGGAATGGCCTTTTTTTGGTTGCGAAATCCTCTTGTTTTGGTTGCGGAATCGCCTTTTTTTGGTTGCGGAATCGTCTTTTTTTGGTTGCGGAATCGGTTTTCTCTTGGTTGCGGAAGCGCCTTTTCTTGGTTGCGGAATCGTCTTTTTTTGGTTGCGGAAGCGTGTCTGATTTTGGTTGCGGAATCGCCGAAATTTGGTTGCGGAAGCGTCGAAATATCGTTTCGGAATCGGAATTTATTCCTCGTGTCTGCTCCATTGGCCAATCAGGAGGTAATGTTCAAATTGCTCGAAACAGATCGGGCTCCAAACCCCATGATGGTTTGCAGCTCAAAAAAAACACCAAGTACAAGAATACCTGATGGCTTTGCATCCCTTCCCCCGTTCAAGATCAACACCGCCCAGAACCATGGTGCATCACTGGAACCATACAATGAGGCCGCTTAATGTTAGGGAGATGCGATGGTTTCTTCCGACTGCCTGAGGAAAAAAAATCATCCGACACCTTGACCAATGGGAACCCAGTCGGGGACTTGCCGGACGGTGGCTATGGACACGCAGCCGATCTAAACTTCAACCTATAGGACTTACGGCATTGAACCGATCGAAACAAGTCCGGAGTCCGGGCCCATACTCAGATTTGGTTCGAATTCAACCCTCAAATGATGGATCCGCGAGCTGTAAATATGATGGATCGCCACGCCATCAGAATTACGACAATATAAATATAATTATAATATATTATGCCTCCATATTACACCAAGTGGTCGTTCCTGTGAACCATCACCACAACCGAACCGGCCTGAGTCATCGTGGCACTGAAATCCCAGAATTCCAATAGATCATCGCCTGGGGGGTAGGCTTATGATTTCAAAGGTGAGCTGTGGCAAAACAAAATACCCTCCAGAAATCAAACATGGCTAGCTGGGAAATCCTCTGTAAATGGCGGTTTGATAGAACTAAACGGTATTTTCCATTGCCACGTTTGATTACCAGAAGGTAAAACCTGATAGGGTGCACTTGACATTGAAAGCTTTCATGGATTTTCTATCTGAAATCCTCTTTGCATGGGCGGCTGGGATCTCATCGTTCTTCAAAAATGCCTCATGAATCTAGACATGAGTAATGAACTCACAATCAGCCACAATGATTCAAGAAACTTAAGGGTTTTGACCACTGAACACATGGAACCCATGACACCTCTGAGTCTTACATGGCATGATTTGGGTAACAAGTAGCTGACAAAGGGGATCACATTTAATGACTAAGCTATTTTGCTTGGTCGACTCATTTTCCTCTTTCAAAAGATTCCCGAATCATTCACTGATTGCAAATTCTTTGATTTTTTGCCAACTACCATACTTCAACCATCTGAACCGAAGTGGTGCGGCTCGAAGCCTTAGTTTGTGGCCAACCCGGCACCACAACACCGTAAGAAAAGGACTTGACTGACTTGACGTTGGAGGCCGTCAGTGTTTCTACAGGCGTTTTTTGGTGCTGTTTTAGCAGGTCACGGGTCATTGTCATGTTCACCAGCTGCAGGATGTGATGCTGAATAATACCTCACGGTAGCAGCATCAACCGATGGTTGGGAGATGAATGGCCATCCTGGAAAGCTGGATAGCCCGGATCGGCACCCGTAAATTGGCATTGTTCCTCCTACTTCCGTTGGGATGGTGAGAGTGCCAATGTGCCAATGTCAAATTCCAGAGCTACCAAGCCAAGATATCATCAAATAGATATTCAAAGATGATATCTTCCAGATACACCTGGTTTTTCTGCCCAATGTATCGAAGAATTTCAATAAAACCAGGACACCGTCAGGGTTGCCACTGAGAATTCCATTGACGACCTGGGATGCCCAGGGTGACTGAGATTCGGATTTGAAAGATATTCCAGGCTTGGAAGGGACACGTAAGCAGTGTGAAAAACTGTAATCCCCAATATAAATTCCCTCTGACAACTTGAAGAGGGATCAGCGGCATGCTGCCCATGGGAGAGAAGAGTGCTTCGATACAGTAGAGATCATTCTCAATCTTTCGCACTCCCCTTAGGGATACTTGGGTAGATTGTTGTCGCTGTCCGAATGGAAGGTATGTCGTAGAACACATCACCAAGCTGCGGAGAACCTCAATATCTTGTCCATATATATGGAGGATCAGCTGAGGACTTGTTATTCTCTATGGTTGTTTATATTGCTACCCCCTGATTCAACACAGCTTGGAAAACGCCCATGGTTACCGATGGCTATGAACCAATACATGGGGCTCCAAATGGATGCTACAAAACCACTGCAGATATGCAAGTCCCAGCTACAAGCT